CCATTTGGGTTTAAGGTTTTGGGTTTTAGGGTTTAGGGATTGACAGGGTTTAGGGTTACTCCGAAGTACACAGTTTCCCAAAATGCTGCAGTTGTGGAATGAATGGGAAATTGATTCTCAAGGGGGTGGGGTCATTCATTTTTGGCGCCGTGAGCTGATGTAAGGACTGCTCCAGCTAGCCTTTGTCTCCTTGCCAAGCAAGTAGCAGGTCGAAATTTAGGCGCTAAAGCCCAAACCCTAAGCCCTACATCATGTGGTGCCCCTGCATACTTCCACTCTAACCTCTTCTTCAACCCCGTACAAGCTTATTGTTGAACCCCTTATCCCCTACACCCTCTAAACCCCCAAACCCCCAAACCCCTTAACCCTAAACCCCTCAACCCTAAACTCCCTACCCCTAAACCCTAGACCCTAAACCTCTAACCCTGAAGCCCCTTAAACCCTAACAGGCCTTAACCCCTACAATCTAAAGCCCCAAGTGGTTATTTCCCAAAATAAGGGAACCCTTATATAGACCCCAAAATATTACATTTCTTATTACGGGGACCCCCAAAAGGGTACCCCTAATTTTGGGAAACCCTCAAGTCCTGGGCTTGAAGCGCGGAAGGTCGGGCCGGGGTGCTCGGTGTGGCCATGGAAGTCCTTGGCATCATGGAGGCTGGGGGTTTAGGGTTTAAGGGTTTAGGGGTTAGGGTTTAGGGTCTAAGGGTTAGGGGTTTAGGGTTTAGGGTTTAGGGTAGGGCAGAGGAGGGCGGAGCTTGTGAGCATTTAGGGCTTCGGGTTGAGGGTTTAAGGCCTAGGTTTAGGGATGAGGATTTAGGCTTGAGTTTCGAGGCATCATTCATCATCTAATAACCAATAACCGTAATCCTGTCGTACACCGTAACCCCGAATCACGAACCTCCAAGTTATGTCGTCCCCCAAACCCGGGATGCTAGTCCACAGAGGAAACACTGGAGGGATTTGGAGGCTTTAGAGGCCTCAGAAGCTGATAACCAGTACCCCCATCCCTGAACAGAAAGAAACATAAATGTTCAGATCGGGTGAAATGGTTCTTTCTTTGGGACCCTCTCAAAAATTACGCTGGTGCCGCCCAAAAGCACAGAAGCAGCCGGTGCAGTCGAAGCTTCGCAGGCTGGAAGCCTCTCAGACTCACACGAGACGACAAGCAAGGGCTTAGGGCTGAGGGTTTTGAGGCTGTGGGGCAGGCGGGCTTTGCTTCAATGCGCACGCCATCTGAGTAGCGTTTTTTGGTGGTTGAACCCAGTAAGATTATATTCTTATATAAAATACTAAACCCGAAAAGGATGATAGAATCTTACTCTATAATCGGTACCATAGTATCCCCAAATAAAATACTACTCATCTCAGTATCAGGATAAACCGATTCTGTTTAGGACTTGGACTATGGCAAAGGTGGCAGGAAGCCACGGGAACATATAAGCGGGCTGTCCGGCCTTGACTCCTGAGAGCTACGTGGTAGTATCCCTAAATAAGGGGACCCCAGTATAGGCCCCAAAATATTATAATCCTTAGTATTGGGACCCCCCATAAGGTACCCCTAGTTTAAGGGAAACCCCCATGTTAAGCTCTGCTTGTGTCTTACGCTTAGTTGACCAGAAAGGCCCCATTTGCCCCTTAAGTTGAGAGGTCTTGGGCGTCTTCGGCATTACGCGTACGTTGACCGCAATAACACCACAAACTGCTTCCCAAAACCCCCAGAAAACCCTGCTCTTGCCTTCCAAGAGCGCCAAAAATCTACAGACTGCCCTCCCCCAAATTAAGATGGAACTCCATAAAGCTATCTCTTCAAGGGACAGTAGTAACTAAATTCCATAAAGCTCCCTTTGGAGTTCCATGTTAGTTTGCAACAGGGTACTCTCTACTATCCACTGCCTCACTCACCACTGCCGTCATCCCTCACGCACCCTAAAGCCCTACCCAACCCGCAAACCACAAACCCAACACCCTAAGCCCTAAACCTCAAACCCTAAACCGAACCCTAAACCCTAAACCCCAAACCAAACTCTAAACGCCAAACCAAACCCTAAGCCCTAAACCCTAACCCCAAACCCTACACCCGAAGCTTTTCGCGGCCAGGCGCTACAGCCTGAACCGCTGGTGTTTAGTAAAGATTGGAGGATCAGAACATCATGCGGTTCGGTTTCAGGGTTTAAGGGCTGGGGGGAAAAGAATATGAATGAGTCCCCCTACTGCCTCCGGCTCATTTCAGGCTTATCCATGAAGATCTTATTTGGGGGAGGGGGATGGGTCCTCCGACTACGCCCTCCCAAGGTTCCGCGTAATTAAGGCTATTTAGGCATAAATGAGCACAATGAAGGTTAATCAAGAGGGAACCTGGGGGTAGTATAGGGACCCATGAGAATACGTCTCTCTTTACAGGGTTTGTGTGAGGTCTTTGGGCTTGGGGGTCTAAGTCCTAGCGGGACTGGGGACATGGACCTCGCAGTGGCTTCAGACGTTAGGATTGAAGCTTTAAGGCTCATGGGGTTTAGGGGGTTTAGGGTTTAGGGTCGGATTAGGGTTTAGGGTTCAGGGTTGGGACTCTTTTTGGCATTTATCTAAGAACACAAAGTGACTACTACCACTGCTTCAGCTCCAACAGCACTCCAACCAAAGGAACCTCCTAACCAATCCCCAAATCAGGGGTTGATAAATTCGAGTTCCCATACATAGGGCCTCCCCAGTATAGCCATTCTAATGTAATCCTTGCTTATAGGTACCCCTCTAAAGGGAACCCTTAATTTATGGAGATTCCCAAAGCAGCCGTCTCAAATACAAAGCCCCTATACGGCCCTTGATAGGTCCGCGTATAGGCCCCCATACTCCCTAATGGGCTTCTCCTGTTGACGCGAGCTCCACTCCGAACCCAATTCACGTGCCCAGCAATTGGGGCGCATTGGTTGGGTTTCAGAGCTATAGCAGCCCGAGTAGTAGTCCCTGTATAATCCCCAATGACAGTGTAGCTCCATGGCTTGTTCCACCCTGAACCCTGACTCACGGCATTATGGTGGATACTAAAATCCTGCGACCCTAGGTACCTTATGCCGCGGAAATTCTAGTATTACTCTAGCGACCATGAAGTCTAAGGATTGCAACGCACCTCGTTGCAGAGGAGGCGAAGCAATGACCCGCAGCCGAGGATGCTGAGTGGATTGTGGGCCAACTAGGCAGCATGATACGGTTTGCCTACGGAAGAGCTATTGGAAAAGAAATGAAAACTGAGGTTATATAAATGGGATAGGTACATATATATATATATAGGGCTGCACCTGTAACCCCAATTAGCTAAAGTTTAGTAGTGAATATCCCACAAACGATAAGCATAAGCCTACAGTCCCCCCTAAGTAGATAGAGTATGGGGGGGGGGGGTAGTTTTGGGATAATGGTAAAGAAAATGGAAACTGCTATCTAAGGCTTAGGGTTCAGGGTTTAGGGTGTAGTCCGTCTTAAGTAGATAGAATATGTGGTATATTATTGCGTTTTATAGGGATAATGGAAAAGAAAATGGAAACTACTCCAATGGGTTGTATGGGGTATAGAATATGGGGTATGTGGGGATCTTGTTATAAAATACCCAAAGCCATATTCTATCTACTTAAGGGGGACTTTAGACCCCAAACCCCAAACCCTTAACCCTTAACCACGTGAGCTTGGGGTTTAGCACGGGGAATGTCCTCACACATACGCAATATGCAACAGAGAACTGCGACTGCACACTGCGTCTCCATGCCTAACCCACGACATGAGACCAGTGCCTTGGATTTGTACTCTGAAATGCTGGCGGCGATGAATGGCGCAGCAACCTGCACCAAGGGCAAAAGCCAGGTGAGAGGCAGCCAAGAACAGAGAAAAAAAATGCATGCAGCCTAGTGAAATGGAAATCAGAACCAGAGATTCAGCCAGAGTCGTGCCCATGGCCCTCACAAGCTTTTCTTGTCTGCGGCTGTCACATTGCGACTTGCTTCGGCGCATGCACACAGCATCAGTGAAACGGCGGTGAGACCTGCTTTGTCTAAGTCGGAGAAGGATTGTAGTTGCGCGCCCTCTCATGGAAAGAGAGCCAAGGAAACACAGAAGGCATTGTATACATTAAACAATTTGAAGTGCCAGGGCACCCTAGGCAGAGAAGTTCATGTACACCCAGAGGACCAAAAGACTGACAAGGGAAGACACACTTGACGCTTGAAGAGCAGCACCCCGCGCTGGCAAGGGCAAGTCCTCCACGCAGAACACCTCGGTGATCGTGTTAAGTCAAGTTTGCAACTCACTCGCTGACCTGGAGACTTCTCGTTCAACTATGCTTCGCGCAGGCGTCTCGCAGTCTGTCCGATTTGCACAGGTTGCCATGGAAGCCCTGATTGAATCCTGCAAGACATGCTAAGAACGCTACAGGCAAGACACTGGCAAGACAATGTGATTTCCGGAAGCAGACAGGCTTGCATGAAACGTCAGCCGGCAAATGCGCATCTTGCAGAGAGCAAACAGACGTCCTCCATCTGTGGCGTCAGCAAGCCAAGCTGCTGGAGAAGAACTAGCTCCAGGGTGCGAGGATTGGCAAGGCAACCATTGGCCCAAACGCAGTCCTGGGCATAGACCACCGAGAATCATGAATGTTTCTAGGCAGAGCTGTAGAAAGCACCGTGATCGGAGTCTAGCAGCGTAGCGGCCATCAAGAATAGCAGACTTCCAAACGACAGCACATGTGTAACTTTAACCACATGAGTTCAAATCTATACTGACTGTAAGTCGGGTATGCGCAAAGAGCACCATGTGGGCTATAGTCCAAACTCCTAGTATCCCCTTTGATAACCCCTATCATAGTCCCCTATAAAACCCCCCTTGAAGGAGTTTTGTGAACCCCCCCTTAAGGAGTTTAGACTCTAGCTCATGTGTCTTATAATCCCCAAACTCTAAGCCCTAGGCCCTAAAGTCCAAGCGTCTAATCCCTAAGCCCTAAGCCCTAAAGTCCAAGCATCTAATCCCAAGGCAAGACAGCTGGATTCGGAAAGGTCGGCACCTCGACTCTAACAAACACCCGAAAAACGCGGGGGTTGGATTCTAAAGCCAGTGGATCCTCTTGGGGGATCCCATAAAGGGGCCAGAGGTGCTATATAGGGATATCATAGGGATGTATAGGTCTGAGGGCTTAGGGTTTCCTAAACTTAGGAGTGCCTTTTTGGGGGGTCCCAGAATATTAGGGTCTATGTTCGGGTCCCCCTATTTCGGGAAACTACCAAATCAGTAGCCAGCTTGCACACTCTTCCTGTATCAGTTCACCAGGACTACTCTGCTCTGCCAACACAACAGAATCGTGAGGCGCGGACAAGCAGACCCTGCACTCAGGACACTCCTGGCAAGCAACGACTTTCCATGTAACAGCTTGCTTTATGTTGAGGTCCCTGTGGCCCTGCCTCAAGGGGCAATCCTCGTCTATGACTGCCAAGAGAGCTTCCAAAGGTTGCAAGTTGCACTTCATGCCCGCTGCGTCCCACAGACAGGAGCCCTTGCACAGGTCTTGTGAGGCAAGAGATGCACAGCGATCTCTTCGCAACGCCACCCGAACCAGCTCATCGCGAAACTCCTGATTTGGGAAAGACTTAGCGTCAGAGCAGTACAGCTTCGCAAGCAAGCATGCCCTAGTAAGGTGACAAACTCTGCTCCTGTCGCAGCAAAGCAAGTACAGTTGCAGGTGGAATGCCACACGAAGCTCGCCCTGGATCCCAAAGGCACCCGGCTGTGCCATTATACCCGGCGCAATCGGCTTCGCTCTGTAGCTCTATACACTCGCCTTCTCGGGCCATCATCTGTCCCAGCAGACCGCATTTTTGAGCCCCTAAGCCCGCACCACCTTGCCATACGGGGCTTGCAAGCTTTCGTGCTATCCAAGCCCGATCGGTGGCACAGCCAGCGCCAGAAATTCTGCAAAGGGTAGCATTCTCACATGCAGAGCCATTCAGGGATTCACAAGTCAAGCCTTGTGCCGCTATCTCGCCCCAGACGCTGTCACCCCGTAGCCGCTGCAGCAAAGATGCCGAATACCAGCGACTTATCTGACAGCTCTGCGTATACTGTGCATCGAAGGAGCACAGCGGCTGGCAGGTCTGGGCACCGGTGAGTGATAACCCACTGAATATGGTGCTTACCAGCACACCTTTGCACAGGCTTCCGCAGCACGAACTCCTCATTCCTCTGGCCAGGTCAAAGCCCAGCAGCTGCGCACATGCATTTCTCGCCAGCCATGAGCTACATGAGACGGGCGCTGCAACTAACTCCCAATTTGACTTTGGACTGCCCCTACATGGCTCATCCTGCATGGTCGTAAATGGGAGATCCTCTACAAGAGGTTCAGGTCAAGTGTTGACAGTTCTTGTCTAAAATGCGTGCAAATGCTAAGAGCCCAAAAGCCGCCGGTACACAGAGGTGATGCAGACAAAGTGGCCTCCACATACGCAGAGCTAAGCAGCTAACGTGCACTTGGGGCCTCCAGGATCACTTGCCCACCTTCGTGCTCTACAAGAGCAAAAGCATGGAGAACGTTAGCCAAACCTGGCATGGCGGTGCGCAGTAATTCAATCAGCTTCCATGCACCTTGCCAGTCGGGCCTTCAAGTGTCCCCTCAAATACTATAGTAGTTTCCATTCTATTTTCCATTATCCCCAATATAACCCCAATATTACCCCAATATTACCCCAATAGAAGCAGACAACTTGCCAGCCAGGCTGTCAGGATTGAATTGCTGATAACGGCCTACCTTGGCAGATTGGGACACCAGAAGCAAGATACCAGGGTTTAGGGTTTAGGGTTTCTCGTGCCAGGCCCTGAAACTGTGGGCGGCACCACATCTTTCTGGATGGCCTTGCAATCGGCCGCTCGAATCAGATGCGCTGAGCCCAGGCCATTCTATTATGCATTATGCTCGCAGTACGTCATCATGCAGCACGCTTGACCAGCGTTCAAGTCTTCTAGGGCCACAAAGGATCTGCAGGTGTTTGCCAAGTTTCTCAGGCCCTACCACCTCCAAAAATCTAGAACTCCTTTTGTACTCCCAAGACATTAAGATCCTCTGAGGGTGAATCCTACAGTTTAGACGCCGGAACTCAATGAACCCCAAACGTGAGCTCGGAACACTGCCCAGTAAGATGCCCAAACCTCTGAACCCCCCAACCCCCCTAAACCCTACACTTGCCTTACACACCATAAACGCCAAATCCCACAAACAACTCAAGAACCCTAAACCTTAAACCCTAAACCCCCAGTCCACATCACCTCGAAAAGTGGGGCCAGGCGCCGTCGAGCCAGCGCGTAGGCCCAGGCCAATACGGCCACCTTACAGTGGATGGAGGAAATCTTGCACCACCCAGTATATCTTAAAGCCTAATAATTGTGGTATGTTGGGCTTACTAAGTGGTGCAAGATCTCCTCCATCGAGTTGAGCTTTTAGGGCGTTGAGGCTGTTGGTATAAAATTCCTGTCAGCAGGGGGTGCTGTTGCGTTACAATTGCATACGGGTAGTTGGGCAAAATGCCGCATTCATCACTCCTGCTACTATTCGTTTTTGCGAGCCTCGGCATTCCAGGAAGCTTCCCTATCTCTGCGCCATGACCAGCCCAGCGTTGCCTGCTCCGGCCGGAACTCGTGGAGCCTCGCTGCTGCGGATGTGCCCAGACCTCCCGCTGCTTCACAGTGCAGAAGTTTGCAAAGGCAGTGTCCTTAAACTGGATCCTTATAGTAGTCCCTATATAACCCGTTAAATAGTTTCCATCTTCTTCTTTCCATTCCTGCATTCCCGGCTCATCAAAGGTAAGTAAACCTGGCCCAAAACGACCCTGACCGCCCCTTGCCCCTCCCCAACCCCAAAACCTGAAGCCCTAATCCCTATACCCCTAAGCCCCTTTTCAAACAAGACAGCTGACCGGAAAAAATGTCTGGATGCGGATGTCGCAAAATGGCAAATGCCCAGGTGCAGTTCGCAATGTCCTCTCCCAGGAGCAGAGTCTTGCTGGGCATCATCACTCGCAAAACAAGCTATTACTATTGCCATTAATATTGGTATGAATACTACTATTATGATTGTTAATTTTTGTAGTTGTATTATTATTGTCAATATTAAACTGAATATTGATATTGCTATTTCTATTACTATTGCTATTGATAGTAGTAGTACTATCACTACAACAATCTCTGAGCCAGTTGGCTATCTTGTGCTCCTGAGGGCGGAGTGTATCCCCAGCCTCGGCGAGGACCTTGGAGAACCGAAGGCTCACCGCTTTAGGGTTTGGGGTTAAGGGTGCAGGGTTTAGGGTTGTATCTCAAATGAGCCATAGTCTAACCTCCAAATATCCCCTATAGTAGTACCTAGATAATCCCTTATATAACCCCCCCTTAATATCCCCTATAGCAGTCCCCCATATAATCCCTTATGTAACCCCCTTTAAGGCGTTTAGATTATGGCTCAAACAACACCAAGAAAGAGGGAAAGCCTTCGCGGCGGCATCGAAAAGATTGGCGCTCAACACCTTTCATTCCAGTGAAGCGGCTGCAACGACTCAAGCTATTAATATCAATGCTACTATTAAAATGACGAGCAATACTACTAGTAATCTTACTATTAATATTACTATCTATATTGCTATTAATATTGCCATTAATATTAATATCACTATTAATAGTACTATGAATATTACGCTTCACACGCCCGACAATATCCGGCCACCTTGACCATGGCGAAAGATGTGAGGATGGCAACTAAGCTCCTTAGCCGGCAAGACGCTGAACGTTCCAAACATGACCGGACAGCTTAGGGATCAGGGTTTAGGGTTATCCCTAAACCCTGAACTCTATATAGCCCCATTACAGTAATTTCCATTTTCTTTTCCATGATCCCTATGGGACCCCAATATAACCCTAATAGTATTTGAATGGGATCCATCCCAACGCGTCTGCAGTTTTCTGTGTTCCTCGGTATCGTGCAGCTAACATCCTCTAACCCATTTGGAAAATCTTTTGAGAGATAACTCGATTTTTGCTTTTGGCTCTGACGGTGTGCGGGATCCGTGTGCTCTTGAAGTGCTAGATTAAACGTTTCCAAACGTCCCTGTCACTCCCCGAGCGTATCAAGGATCCTCAACGAACCAAGCGTGAGACTGCCCTATAGCTTCTAGAACTATCAAGTCAAGCAGCTCGTGGCTGAAGAGCTTGATGCCTTGGATCGCATCTCAGGGAAACGCATTGGCTCTCATGGTATAGTGTGCAGGGGACCATGACGCCGTCAACATGGGTGTTCAGACATGGGTGTGCAGGAGCATCTCCAGCAAAGGCATGGAACTCGCATTACACATAGGGGCACGTGATGCTGAAGAATGCTCCCAGTATGGGTGTGCAGGCTTGGACGCCTTAAGATCTGCTGATGAAATCTGGTATGTACTTGAGGCTCCACTTATTCGTTATTAACATCATTGCTGCAGATCACAGAAAAGCTCTGACAGACCTAGAGCAGCAGGAATCTGCTTGGGAGTTGAAAAGGGTGGGCGACAAGTGCGTCTAAAACGGACGCCAGGCGGAGATGCAGCATCCTGATGACGTACGTCTCCTGTAAGACTGTCACGAAGGTATGACGAAAATTTGCAGTCGGGCAGAAGACGAACTTATGTCGTCATAATCGAGGGACCCCAACCTACAACCCCAAAGACTCGAATTATTCTTACCGGGACCCCACTTTTGGGGAAACACCACAGTCAGGATCATAGCATGGGGCTCGCTACATGAGAGCCATATCATCCCGAAGCATGCCTACTAAAACCCTGCATTACCTGCTTTGCTGCAGAATACTTACTGTCGTCTCCTTAGACCTATAATAGAAATAGTATTCTAAATATTTCCTTAGGGTTACACTATAATCTAAATAAATAATTCCTCAGGACAGTACAGCTTATAGGTAAGCCAAAAAAACATGGCTTCAAGCAACTCCGGAATGACCAGCTGGGAAGCCCCTCATACTAGTATCCGTCCTGGCCGTCGTGGTCCAGTTTCGGATGCACGCTGTAGCTATGCTTTAAACGGGGTGACGCCAAAGACTCCCACCCCTGTTAAGAGATTGGTTTTGGAGATCACAACTCGAGATGTTTGTTGCAAGCGTTTTTGAGGCTTCCCCCCATGCTACGGAGGGTTCGGGACAATTTTCAGGGGCCAGCATGATTAACGCGATCATGATGCTGGCTTCTTGAGGGATTGGGAGGCTAAACATATGTGGTTTGGACTTGCGCAAAATCTCAAAAGGTGTGTTGGCAGTATTTGTGGCCGTGAAGGCATTACCCGAGCCAAACCTTGCCAATGGTGCATTCTGCACGGTTATTCATGCCCTGTGCATCTATGTCCAGCACTTTGGAGGCTTCTAAGCTACCATGGTTGCACAACTTTAAAACTTACTTTTTGCGAAAATATTGCCTGTGAACAGCCAACAAATAACAATATGAGCCCGAACATGACAATTCTGCGCAAGAAGAAGCATTCGAAGCGCTGTGGCTGGTTTGGTGGGTTCTATAACCTTCCCGACCCTAATTCAGCCAAAAATATGCTGATGATGCTCGCGTAAGGCGGACACGCGCGAGGGCACTAGCATCATCAGCACGTTTGATACCCCGCTTGGGGTTAATTCAGGGACAGGAAGACCTTTAAAACCTTGCAAAACCCCTCGAAAGTCGCAAGAACAGCCCCTACTACTAGTATGGGTCCCTTTAAGAGGGTCGTAGGGGATATACAGGGTTGAGGGTGTAGGGTATGCCTCCATCAGCGATCCTACATTGGTGGACACCTTTAATTTTAGGTGTCGGGGTGTCTAATTTCGCGCCTGGCGGCATGGGCCGGCCTGGCCATCCCTCATTCTATGTGTTGAGGGTGTTTAGTAATAGCATGAAGGAACTAGTATGTAGCAGTCAAGATGCGAGGCTCGATGGTTCCCACTGCTGCCCTGGCAAGAGGATGTAGGTTTGAGGTGCTAATCATCGAGGTGTATTAGCATTAAGCATGAACTTCAGAGAAACTTGGTCAAACCGAGGTCTTGTGCATAATTCCAGTGAGCAGCATAGTGGGATGATTTTCTCGGACAGGGTGTAGGGCTCTAGTTTTAGGATTTAAGGTGTGAAGGGTCAGGATTCCATGTTTTTGCTGGAGTATACGAGGGTTTCCGTAGGTTGGTGGCCCAAAATACGGATCACAAATTACGAATGTCCTTACAATCGGGACTTCCCAAAACCCTAAACCCTGAAACGTAAGAACCTTAATCCCTAAACCCTGCAGCCTAAACCCTGCACCCTGAACCCTAAGCCCTAGACCCTGAACCTTAAACCCTAAACCCTGAACCCTAAACCCCTGGGCCCCACGCCCGAAGAAGGGGCCGGCGTCTTTCATCCCCAGCGAAGCAAAGGCCCAGAGGCAATTCCTTGAGAGAGGCGAGGTGGGGTTTAGGGTTTAGGGTTTAGGGTTGAGGGATTTAGGGTTTAGGGTTTAGGGTTTGGGGTTTAGGCGGTTTAGTTGATACTTTAGTCCCTGTTACGGAGACCCCCAAAAAGGAACCCTGGTTTTGGGAAACCCTAAACCAGGAAACCCTATATATCCGTATATAACCCCAATATCCCCTTTGAAGGCAACCCCAAAATGGGAGCCCTACTTTTTGGAGACCCACAGGTCTGGGAAAAACTTGACATAACCCCTGGAGACTTCATTGGTGGGGGGTTCTCAAAAGTGGTCTCTAAGAGGTGCTAGGGATACAAGGATTAAACTGATGAAAAGATTCTTTTTCAAGTCTCCATAGCGGTTCTATCAAAGAAATGTTGAGCAACTCCTGTTCGGGGTATGTCTGCAACTGCTGAACCCTAAACCCTAAATCCTAAACTCTAAACCCTAAACCCTGCAAGCCTCACAGCAAAGCCGTGA